ATGTAATGTATCATTTTAGTTAACATTGTAAGTACACATTACTTCTTACTAACATGTCCATTTCCTTTTCAGATTTAATAAAATTCATAAATATTCCAGATCTCATACAAACACTGCAGATGGTACCTTGAAAATTAATCTCCAAAATGGCCAGTGTTAAGGTAACATCAGCCATGATCGCCATCTGTTGGTAGTAGTTGGAGTAGACTCCAGTTCCAGAGTCCTGGGACCTTTCCAGAGCTGAAGGATCTGTATTAAGGAGAAGAGAGGATGGAAGATAGAGAAGGGAGAACAAGAGTGTGTGTGCACACTCCTGTATGTACACATTATGTAAAATCCATAAGGACATGCACCTGTATTCACATCTAAGGCTTGTGGTGATAGTTTTGTCAACCTACTTTCCTGCCTTCTAATTACAGTAGTATGTGTTACTTTTGTATTTAAATTAATAGGAATGGTAGGTTTTTTGCAAGGAGAAAGCAATGGGGACAGAAGATAATTTTAGAAGAACTAAAATATATTTGCTTTTATGCTATAGGAGTCCTACATGTAAATTGAGTAGAAATGAGTAAAACTATGTGGCAAAGTAAAGAAATTTTAGTACATTCTAAGCAAAAGGTTTTTTCAGCCACGTTGAGTTGGAGGAGTAGGTCTAAATGTGAATTTTTACTTGTTATCCTCTCCCTTTGAAATTCTAATTATTCTGCAGTCACGTCTCTTAATTACTCTTTATCCTTTTACTGCCAGAGCTTCCTCTGGAGTGGATTATCTACTCTTACTTAGCAAAGAATATTATAATCAGGGTAACAGGCTGTGATCTGAGCCTTGTTGCTTTGAAGCTGAAAAAAATCCAAAGAATCAAGAATCACCATAGACACATCTACTTCCCTCAGTGCTACAGCTTGCATTCTTGGGCTTGTTCCTCTTTGGTGTTCTTAGACTCCATTCTGCCAATCAAGAGCCCTATTTACCCAGTACATTGTACATCTCTTTTCCTTAATGATTTTTTTAGACAGAGTAGGCTGCAAATGTGAACAAGAGGAGCTGAAAAATGCTTTATGAATTTGTACCCAAGTATCTTTTAATCTTGTGGGTACTGGGGACTGACAATAGACTTGGTCCTAGTGCTAATGACCTGAAACCCCCAACCATTCACTGCAAGCAAAGCTATCAGAGGGCGATGGTGACTTTATCCTGCCACACCTTGTCACCTTTCTTGAGATGACATTTGATAGACCTTCTCCATAGTGTAGATCTGGATCTTTCCTGGCCCCTTTCATGCCATTAGAACCCTGTTCCACAGAAAAGTAAGTGCATGACCAGCTCAGCTAACCAGGACCTGAGTGATTTAGTGCTACATTTCTAGTTCTGGGTCTGTTTTAATGGGAGCCTTTTAAGCTGTGAGTGGAGCCCCTGAGTGGACAGCCCAAAAGAAAAGATGTTTAACAAAAGGGGAATCTCTCAACACTACTCAGGTGGCTCCAGATAAACACCTTCCTATATGCAGGAAGCCAGCAGACCATAGCTCCTCAGACATTGTAGAAACTTACGAATTTTCTGTGAAATCAGTCTCTCAATCCTAGCCCACAAGTCGTGATGAAAACCACAATGAAAAGTAAAACTGATGTTTCAGAAATACCTCTTCTGTTCCTTGTCTGTTTGCCAAGCACGAACCACGTGTTTGTTTCTTAAGTTAAATAAACAAAAAATTGCTTGGCCTTGGAAAACAAAAACCTGTGTCAGTATCAAAGTGAAAGAAACAATCTAGTTTACCCCTCACCATTCATATTTGAGCTAATAAAAGAAAACTTGTTTCTCAGAGGAATTTCATGGGTAAGTTGCAATGAAGACTTAAATATCATCCTTTTTTGAGGTTTGAGATTTTAGGTCATCTTAGATGCAAAATTTGCATGAGTTTTTGTTTTGCCATTTGCAAAAATAGGAATAATAACAGACTGTGAAATTAAATAATGTATATGACACACATAGTGTAACATATATAGCATCATAGTACCCAGCACAGCACTGAGCATAAGTTGGAATTCAAATGACTATAAACTCTTTTATTGTTTCTTCAGCAAAATAAGTGAGGCAGTTAGGGCTGACTTCTGGGAAAAGAGATTTGAACAGGTCCTTCAGGATCAAGCATAGGTAGGATGGGGTAATGGACAGGTAGGATGGACATATTTAAAGTAGTGTTTGAGGTAAATTTGACAGAGCCTCTTGGAAGGACTAATGGAGCCAGGGAGAACATTTGATGTAATTTTCTTTTTTAGTAAGTCTAGACAGTAGAGGGAGGAAATAAAGTTGGAAGCATCAGAGACAAAACTCAGCAGAGTTACTGACTGGCTGCATTTGGGAATGCCTCGGGTGATGCTGTCCCATGGACACTGAGCTTGATAGACGATTGGGAAAGCCAAAAGTGCTCTTGAATAAATAAAGATACAGAGAGGAGTTGAGGTGTGTTTGGAATTCTGTTGCAGATAGGATTTAGAAAATAGTGAGCATGAGGCAATACTAGCTAAATAAGTCTCTTAATGAAATATTAAGATATCTAAGTAGAAAGAGGTAAAGGTAGAAACCAAAACTTTTGCAGAATTTATGAAAAAATCAGGAAAGAGAAATGATATCATCATAGGAAGTTCATTAATTACAAATATATCTCTTGATAAATATCCAAAGAAGGCCAAGTTCAATATTGAACATTAGCCCTAAGGAGGAAGAAGAAGCTGGATGGGCAAGGATCCCCACAATAAGAGCCACCCACAATGGAATGAGATCCAGGCCTGGGAGTATGGGGTTCCCAAGGTGAAGAAAGAGGTGCACATGGCACAGGTGTGGGAGAGAGGACCAATATCACAGGCTGCAGAGAGGAAAGAGCCCGTAGAGGCAGCGGTGTGGTGTGGCCTGAGTATTCTGTCTCTTCTCCCCTCACATTTCCATGTCTTTCCCATCATGAAGTGCTCAAAGCAGCTGCAGAGGGAGAAGGCCAACCCCTTGACCTTCTCCTAAATGTCCTTCTGTTTGGCTGACAAAAGGCCCTGCTCTCTGAGACCTCAGGCATAATATCTTAATTTTGGTGACTGTCCGCCCCTTATTCTAAACTGGAGTCATACTGATCTTCCGCCTAAATGTATGTCAGTAATAGAATCTAAGAAATGCTTTCATTGAAGAATGTGCAAGGGAGAGAATGCTGATAAAAATGAAACACATGACCTCGGAAAATGAGTGGCTGCTAAAGGGTCATCCTTATGTCTTTGTTTGGTTTTTAGCATTTGTGCTTTTTACATATATTTTTTGTAAACTTGGCAACCCATTTTAATGCTGTTATAAATGCTCAGCATCTCTTCAGGGAATTGAAGGTGCTTGTTTAGCATTATGCCTCTTGGATGTGATTGTCATTTGAACCTTAAATTACCTTTACTTTCATGCCTAGTTTATAGTACTCACTTGGCTACCCAATTATACAGAGTAGAAGTAAAGAAAATTAAATGGACAAGAGTGGTGACTCGAGCCATCTGTTTCTTCCAGACAAAAATTTATTTCAGCTGGTTTTAACATACATTATAAAAGTCTGTAAGGTTCTAGAAGTGGTACAAAATGCTGCACAGTCTTAGACTGCCTAACACACTTAAAGGTCTTTATTGCCCCCATTAGTGCCCTGTAGCATATTAGACAAGTGTTCAACCACTGAGCTACATCCTTAGTTGGAAGACTCATATTTTTTTAATATTTTAGTATTTTTTGTGTGTATGCGTGTATTGCCTACATGTAGGTAAGTGCACCCATGTCATGCAATGCCCACAGAGGACAGAAGAGACTGCTGGATCCCCTGGAACTGGAGTTACAAACAGTTGTTAGCTGCCATGTGGGTGCTGGAATTCAAACCTGGGTCTTCTGCAAGAGCAGTCAGTGTTCTTATCCGCTGAGCCATCTCTCCAGCCTGGCTCATCTTAATTTTAATATTCAACAGTCAGTCATGAGAAAGGTGTAAGAGATCATTTTGATTGAAAATTAATCATTAGGAAGGTAGAATTTTAGGATTGTCTATGAAGAAGTTTGGAAACTTGGGCCTCAAATACATGAGCTATGCTCAGTGCATTTACCCCAAAGTTTTATTTCGATTTTTTAAATAATTTTTTAAGTATTATTTTTCAAACTTTTCCCACAATTTTTAGACTACAGTGTTTTTTCCAAGGTCTGCACTATAAGAGGGGCGGGATCAGTAGCACAGTATGTGTGCTTAAATTAACTTTCATTTTTAGTTAGCAGTGCACTAAGTTCTAATGTGTTCTGCATTTAACTCCCAAAATTTCACGACAAATTCAAAGGAATTTGAACACATTTCTCATAAAATAGTGATTAATTTCCCATTCATTGTTTATGGTATCACCTCTCTGTCTCACACATGTGCCTGACCACTGCTAACAAATAATTATTACAGAGTTGAAAGTGATACTAGTAAGATTTATAAATAGTCTTTAGTTTAAAAAAAAAAGAAACCTATCTTTTGCCATTTTTTGTTAAACATACATACACTTGTATCTGCCTTTTGGTTGTGTTCTACAACTGTGTGGCACTGTTTGCTGAGCCAAAATGAATAGAATAATACAGCTGCTTTTCCACTGTTATTTCATAAGAGCTATGTGGATCATAGAACTTGAATAGATCCGTGGTCTTACTTGGTTTTTGTAGCTGACCACAGAGTTAGTGCGCTAGAAGAAAATATTTTTTGTATAGAGTGTGTAGTGCGTATTTTCCCCTCAATTTTCAGGTAAGTACCTGCTCTTCAAGGCTAAACATCAAATTTAGCACAAGACTCCCAAGGAGAAAGCATGGCCATTCCTTTTTTATTTTCAAGTTCAGAATTCTCACTGTCTTCCCCTTGGTAAGGAACATTTTGTACTTTAAGGTTTGCAGTTGTTTGAAAAGTATGTGTGTTCTTTGAACTTAGACATGAATAAGAGTTCCTTATAACTTCCTTTTCCCTCCTGTTTTAGATATGGGAAAATAGTCTCCACGAAGGCCATTTTGGATAAGACAACGAACAAGTGCAAAGGTATGCTTTTGTGGCTGATTTTTTGTCCTCAGTCATAGCTTTGGAGAAATGATGGAATGATCTTAAGTTTCACAATTAACCACATTGTATTAAAAAACCAAATCTCATATGTCACCCAGTTTCTGTCTTGCACAATATCAGCATGTTGCTTACATTTGTTTTGTCCTTAGTTGCGTTTTGGCTGGGAACCCAACAGCAGCTAACTGTTTGCCAGAGTTCCAGATTTGGCGCCAGTAGAGTTAACATGCAAAATACTAGTTGGCATTTAGCCCCTGCCTTTAAAAGGGGAGTAGAGCTAGAAAATAGCTTTTCTTTCCTGAGCCTGAGGAGATTAGAGCTGCTTACTGAAGACCATTGGACTGTACTAAAGAACTGAAAAGATTACATATTGTGCAAATTGGCTCTATTAATTAGAATAGAGTAGTTTTAAGCAGTACTTAATTACATGTTTCAATCCTCGCAATTGTTCTCTGCTGAATGCCTGTTGACAATATTGGCAGCAGGGAGGAAAGAACCATTTTCACTGACCAAATTGTACCAGGGAGGAGAGGTCACGCGCCCCTTTGAAATATGCTGCTGCATTAATTTGATGCACTGACCTTCAGTTTTCCATGCAATTAGGATGAGCTCATCCAGCTCTGTGAGCTGCAAGTGAAGGCGTCTAGAGCAGGCAGCACACGGATGCTCAGTGCTTCTGACTTTTAATGATCCAGCATCTTAACAATAGGCATGTGATTTCTAGGAAAAGGAAAGAATGGAGTCAGCTGACTTTGAATCTAACTACTGACCCTATGAATTGAGCAAGGTTGACAGGAACAGGCAGAGAAGGCAAATCTTCTCATTAATTAGACCCCAGTTTTTCAAGTAGTGGTGACGGGGCAGTGGCTTTGCACAATCTGAAAAAGGCAAGGAACATAAATGAAGCCTATGGTGGGGCCTCCCCTTGTAAGCCGGCCATTTCCTTTAATCTGGACTTGAAGTGGTTCATTGTGCTCTGTCTCTTCTTCAAAGTACTTAGATTTAAAGGAGCTATTGTGACAAATATCTGAGCCCATGTTTAATCAACATGGCATATTAAGGCAGTTTTGCCTTAGGACAGAGAATAGAGTGTGCTTTATGTGGAGTGGTACCCAATAAATATTTAAAATGAATTAAACTAGAGAAAGTTAAATTATAAGTGGAAATGCATGTGCTTAGTTGCCAAGATTAGTCTTATTTAACATTTATAAATGATTTGGGAGAACATACAAAGGGGAAAAAACTTAGTTTTGTGGAGAAAAATATGCTCTTGCCAAGAACAAAGCAGGAAGCTGATCTCAAAGCTGGCTTCAAACAAGAAGAGAAATCAAAGTGGGTAATGGTTTTAGCCTATCATATGTCCCTTCCCTTTCTTCCCCACCCCCAAAAGAATCTTATGTGGCAGTTCAGAATGGAGAAAGAGCAAAACCTCTGTGTTGAGGAGAGAACCTAAAGATCCCCCAGTTGAACTCTCCACCCACAAGCAGGACTGAAAGACACTATTGTATGCTCTTCTCCAGTGGCAGCCTTTTCCCTAGAAGCCAGAATTCCACCACATGTTCAGCATGGTCTAGACAAGGCTAAATCTCACACTACCATATGCAACATTGCATGGTTAGAAAGGGCCTGCAGATAAGTGGAGAGATTTATGAGGCTTCTAAATAAAGGTAAGGGTAATTCATAGCTGGTGTTCTATCCAGCAAGTCCCCTGGACACCTTCCCTTCAAGCAGATCTTATGAGACCAGCCATGATCCCTTCCAAGGCTCTCAGCCTCACAAGTGTCTGGGCAGTGCACATCGGCAAATGTGTAGAGTATGTGGAGTGAGGTGAGCAACAGTGGGTTTGTAAAATCATGTAGGCCAGATTGAGAGTTTGAAGGAAGGGATGGTAATGTTAAGGCAAATAAGAAATAACACTTGGGCTCATAATTAAGTTAGATAGCATGTTATCCAAGATAATTTGCCATGATTGGTATGTCTGTATATAGTTTTGCACATATGATAGTTTGGATGAATATAGATAAATTAGTGCACAAGAAATCAGAGTATGGCTGTAAATGAAAAATATTGTATTAAATACTAATTTTAGAGATTAAATATATTCAAGAATTTTACACGTGGAAATAAAGCATCTTAGAATGTCACAAGACTTTTTTCTCAAAACTTGTTTGGGAGCCTCCGTTTTGGACAAAGTTAAGCTAAAAGAAATGTTAAGTCTGAGTAATATGTAGATTCATTTTTGAGATTCAGTTAGTATTTTATATTTCAATTTTTGTCAGAATTCAGAAAACAAAAGGTTTGACTGAGAAACTGATTGAGCATGGATACAGTGTATCTAAGATAAGAAAAGAAAAAAATATATACAGAGAGAGAGAGAGAGAGAGAGAGAGAGAGAGAAAGGATAAATCAGACCAGTAAGAAAAATAAAGATGAGAACAGAAAATTTCATTTTATGATAAAATGAGCTAGTGTTTGATAGTGGCCAAAGCAAAGATGGAGAAGATAGCTATGTCCATGATCCAGTCACCACACCACTGGGGAGATTTCCATAAGCAAGATTAGTTTCACTAGTCCTGGTCCTGGGGCTTTGGAAATTGTCTTCTGGGAACTTAAGTGAGTAAACTTGCTTATTATTTAGTGAGCCCCACCTTCAAAGACAGCTGTATCCATATTTATATAATTAAATGTGATTAAGCCCATAGACCATGCATAGCTCAAATTTTGTATGGTCTTATATTTACTTGAAAGTAATACAAACAAATGAAAAGTACAAGGTTATGTGCTTTACCCGCTATGTTTATCTTTAGCAAATGATTAGGAAGTGTTAGACTAGGATTCAGCAAAGTCCAGAAAGGCATGTAAGCAATTGCTAAAATGTAACCGTTGTGCATTTCTCTCATTAAGACAGTAAAAAAGAATGTTCCTATTACATGATTGGGCAGGCTGCAGCTTCAAGTGCAGTGACATTATAGTTGAGATCTTCTGCTTCTTGTAATGTGTTGGCAATAGTGAAGTTGGTGGAAAGAAGCACGTGCCAATAAAAACTGATCATTTATTTCAGTGTAGCAGGGTGTCCATCTATGAGCTCCTGACATTGTGTACTTAATGTGAGAGAGAATCAGAGACAGCTTGCCTGAGTTTCTGAGATTGATATGTATTAGCATAAGCACCCCAAATACATTTAACCAAGCTCCTAACCTGACAGTTGCATAGCTATCTCTGCTTTGGCTTGGATCAGCCTCTTTTCCCTCCCCAACCTGTCTATTTCTGTACCAAAAACCTCTTTCAGTCCAATTCTATGTAATGTATAGAAGTAGCTTCTTGTTTCAACTTTGGCATTCGTCTCCTAAAACAGCTATTTCTGACTTCGTCTCCTAAAACAGCTATTTCTGACATCGATGCTCTATTTCATTACAATTTCCTTTGTTAAGAAACTACATTTTTGGTACTAAGTGCTACAATGTGGACTGGGCTGTTGAGTCTTTCTGTTTGTCCTGTTGCCGTGTTTGTCTCTTTTGATACTAGTACCATACTCTCAAAAATACTATTTCTTAATAAATTTTGAAAATCAAAGATAGGTCTGGCTCCTCTTTTTCACAAGCTTTAAATGGTACTTTTCTTTTTCAAATTGTGCTTATTTATTTAATATTAATTTTAGAACCAGGTGTGGCAGCATGTGGGCTCACGAGGCTGAGGAAGAACCCAAGTTCAAGGCAGCCCTGGCTATGTAGCAAGACCTTGCCTCAAAAACAAAGTGTGTGTGTGTGTGTGTGTGTGTGTGTGTGTGTGTGTACACAGACTCACATTGAGATATATACCATCTTATAAATAAAAATTTATTTCATAGTAATTAACTTTAGTACTAAGAGATATTTTGACTGTCTAAACCATGTGTAAAAACACTTAACCTTTCCTAGTAACTGGAGTTATCACAGTGAAAACAGTGATTGTCTGCATTCATGAGTGACTCTTGTCAGCTCAAGGAGGATCAAGGCTGTTTGCTCTGCTGCGGCCGTCCCTGTATACGGTGGTTGTGTGGTTTTCCTCTTGTGGCTTCTCACTAGTCTGCACTGCTAGATCCTGTCCATGTGCATATCTTGTGGCTCTGCCCACTCTGGACTTTCTCCCCCTAATTTCCTGTTTTAATTTCTTGAGACCTGGGAAAACAGATGACAAGCTATTTAAAAATGTTTGTGAAACTACAGGTAAATGAGCTTTGAAGAACAGCCTTGCTTAGGTGGTTGTTTATTATGTTGTGTTCTGTTTTTAGACTTTAGGCAAGAAATGCTGGAGCAACTGTTTGGGATATCTGGAGACATTTCTCTATCTTATCTATATCTACCTATCTATCTGTCTGTCTATCTATCTATCATCTATCTATTTATCCTATATCTAATCTATCTAATCTTTCTATCTTTCTGTCTTCTATGTATATCTATCTACTATCTATCATCTATCTATCTAATCTATCTTTCACACAGAGATCTGCCTGCCTCTGCCTCCCGAGTGCTGTCATTAAAGGCTTGTGCCAACAAGCGTAGCCTAAATATTGAATGAAATTTTTTTTTGCTACTAGCAGGGATTAGACCTTTTGATTAAAAAGCAAGCACTCTACTACTGACCTACAGCTCCAACCTCTCATTGGGAACTGATATTTTATGTAAATTAGTACTTTTAACCAGATGCTAAAATTTAGATTATGTTTTAGTATCTAGTGGTTATACTTATTTTAACTTGGAAATCTAAGGTATAGTCTATAAGGTAAGCATAATTTTTGTTCATCCTTTTGCATCTCAGTAGGATGGTTCCCTCTTTTTTGCTGTGTCATTGAAAATACTGTTTGTCTGAAGTTGTCACCATCAACTCCCCCACCCTTTGATACTTTATTACAGTAACTGTAGGATATCTGGGAGGGTCTTTAAGAGGAGAAAGCTACCCCCACACACACATGCAAAGCCTCTGCACTGTGGCTGTGAGCACCTGTGTTGTGGCTGGCAGGACACATCCACTTCTATTGGCTGCATCTGAAGCAAAATGTAGTCTTTAAAAAAAACCTTTACGTAATCAGAAAGTAACGGCTTAAAACAAGTATCTTTTGCATTTCAGGTTATGGTTTTGTTGACTTCGACAGTCCTGCAGCAGCGCAGAAAGCTGTGTCAGCCCTGAAGGCTAGCGGAGTTCAGGCTCAGATGGCAAAGGTGAGTGGATGCCTGTGCTCCTGAAGCTTGCTGCTCCCCTGCCCCCAGCCACCAATTCTGAATAATTCCCTCAGCCCACACATCTTCAGCAGTAGCTCTTTGGACAAAATCTTCTTCCTCATATTTTAATGCATAAAGGAGGATTTACAAATATATACAATTTACATAGTAAATTATGTAACCCCATAAGTAAAGCCAGAAATAGTACCAGATTTTCTCAGGTAATCAGAAATTCAGGAGCCTTTAAGAGCTGTGCTATTTTCTAAAAATATAATTTTAAAATTTCATTACTCAAAGAATTAATTCATTTTTGGTACACCTCAAAGAGAAATGGAATGTATGTTTCTCAAAACCAGAATGGGAAGCTGTCGGGGGAAGAAGGAGACCAGTAAGAAGAGGAGAGAAGGGCTGGGAAGGGCGGGCGGGGAGGGAGTAAGAACAAAGTATATTGATACATCATGAAAAATGTCACAGTGAAGCTCATTTCTTTGTATGCCAGCCAAAAGATTAACTTAAAAAGGTAGTTGAGAACAGGGTTTGGGAGAGGACTCAGTTGGTAAAGTACTTGCTATGCAAGCATGACCGCTTGAGTTCAGAGTTCCGGTGCCCATGTAAAAAGACAGATGTAGTGCATGCTCCAGGAATCTCTACTCCGGAGAGATGGAGACAAGAGGATCTTGTGGGCTTGTTTGCCAGCCAGTCAGACTGAATTGGTGAGCTTCAGTGAGAAGTCCTGTCACAAAATAAGGTGCAGAGCAATTGACTTTGATCTCTGACCTCCTTTTGCACATGAATGTATAAAATTCTAAAAAAATTTGTGCACAGAATGTCATATTTTGAAGGAATATGTAACTGGTTCATAGACTGATTCATACAAATCAGTAATGTGAATGTAAATGCATGCTGTAGGTGACTATTTTCCTATAAAATGGTCAGGAATTTTTTTACATGCTTCTTTGTGGGATATGAATCTACTCTTCAGTAGTTGTGCCTGTGCTTTATTCAAGGCTTGTTTCTTGTGCCCTTCTAACTTTCTAGAGGAGGAATTGTTGAAGTACTCTTTCAAGTGAGGAATGTCTGAGTGTTCAAGGGCTGTAAAATGAAAGCCATATGCTTCATGCTTAGTATGTATTCTAATGCAGTATGCATGAACTTTAATTACTGTAAGACATGTTTTCCCTGAAATAATTTGTCTGATGCTAATTTCCCTACAAGAGTAGAGACCTGAACTCCAGTATGTCATAATTTAGAAATGTTAGTGGATTGACTAGCCATTCATTTTCTCCTTTCACATCAGGCTCATCGTCAAGGTTAAAGATGCCCAGTCCTTTTTTCCAAGTCAGGATATAACTGGCGAGATGGTTTAGCAGGTAAAGGCACTGGCTTCCAAGCCTGATTACCTGAGTTTGATCCCTGGAACCTACATGGTGAAAGGATGCAACTAATTCTTACAACTTGTCCTCTGACCTCCACAGGCACAGTATAGCATGTGTACACTTGTACCTGCATACATGCAAATAAATGTATAGAAATATAAGTCAGGGCCAGGCATGTGCCTTTAATCCTAGCACTCAGGAGGCAGAAGCAGGAGAATCTTTGTGAGTTCAGGGACAGCCTGGTCTATATAGTGAGTTCCATGACAACCAGAGCAACACAATGAGAAAAAAATGTAAGTCAAGATTCTTTAGATAGATAAGATGAACTTGGAAAAGTTAGTCTAGCATGATCAAAATCTCACGTCCAGTGTATATTTCTAAAGCTGAAAAGAGCTCCAGGTTGTGTACCTTCAACCTACTTTCATTGAACCTTTTTTCCCCTACTTGGCAACAGGGTCTATGTAGCCCAGGCTCACTACCTACTCCCTATGTAGCTGAGCATAGCCTTGAACTTCTGATCCTCTGCCTCCACCCCCCTGACTACTGGGATTACAGGCATGTACCACCATGCCCAGATTTCAAGCACACCTGTTTTTGTTAAAAAGAACTCAGACCCAGAGAAAAGACAATGCTTGAAGCACCATGTACTCTTACATATTATATTCTTTAATAGAAATTCCATTATACACTAAGCACATGTCAAAGTCACATTAACTAAACTGATACTTGTATACTGGTCTTTAGTGCCCAAACGTAAGCTTGCATTATATTCTTACACTTAGTACCTATAGTATAGTTATGAAAATAATCATGACGTTTTGTTCTTCCATCAATTTCTATAGTAAATATTTTCTAGCCTGAAATTTGGCAGTTTGATAGTTTGACCTTTCTTTTCAAAAAAGCAGTAGTTTTTTTTTAATTATTGGATATATGAAGTACAGAATAATTGTCTGCTGTCCATGGCTGCTTCAAAATAGTAGCACATGCTCTTCCCTAAGGAAAGAAGAGTTATGGAAGTTCAAGGACTATGATGAAGACATTGTCACCTAAGAGCTTGCTCAGACCTATGTAGCTCCCAGGAAAAGATACCTTGAATACAAGAATCCATGAAGATAAAGGGAATTCATAAAAAGGATCACCTTCCTGGGTCTGGAGAGATGGCTCAGCGGTTAAGAGCACTGACTTTTCTTGCAGAGGACCTGGGTTCAATTCCCAGCACCCACATGGCAGCTATGAACCGTCCTTAGCTCCAGTTTCAGGGGAATCCGAAGCCCTCTTCTGACCTCTGCAGCATTGCATGACGTGGGTGCATTCACATACATGCAGGCAATACACTCATACACATAAAATAAAAATAATAAAATTTTTTTTAAAAAGGATCACCTTCCTCAAGTAATTCTTGCCATATATTATTTTTAAGGCTTTGCACCAAGTTGACCTTTGGATTTTCTTCACTTCCAGAATGGAAGTTAAACAGAAACCATAAATAAAAGGCATCCTGATTTCCAGATTACTTGTCCGTCATGTCCAGCAATTTCCAGTGGTGGTGTTGAAACAATGAGATTGTAAGAATACTAAGGCTTTACTCTGATTTGTAGCACCTGTGCTCTGGCTCTGTAATCAGTGGGTGACTAAACATTTGATGAGTAGGAAGGACTCTTGGTGCTTACCCAGAAAACCACTCTTTTCTCTTTTAGTCTGCATCCTAAGGCCCTCTGCGAAGCTCCTCCTTCTGGATAATATTGAGGACAGGCCCTATAGCTTCTGCAACTATTCTCATTTCAAAAAGTTCCTTTTCCATTTTTCACATCTAAATGCCATAAAGCATACATCTCTTTCAGTGCATTACAGACATTTCTCTCTGTATCCATGCTGACCAATCTCAAGCAATTTTATGATTTAAACAAGATGTCGTATGGGGAGAGCTTCAGGTTATATCTCAAATGTAGTTTGTAGAATGTTGAGATCATATGTAGAGGGTTTTAAAAATGTTTATTATTTTTATTTCATGTGTACGAGTGTATTGCCTGCATGCGTTTAAGTGCACCCATGTTATGTAATGTCCATGGATGTCAGAGGAAGGCATCTGATTTCCCTGGAACTGGAGTTACAGATGGTTGTTATTCACCATGTGGGTGCTGAGAATCGAACCTGGGTCCTCCACAAGAGCAGCAAATGCTCTTAAGCACTGAAACATCTCTCCAGCCCCCATATATAGTGGTTTTGAGAGCTGCTTGGAGTCCATAAAAGAGATTTGAGTATTGGATGTTGCTGGTTCCAAAAGAAACATCATCATCTACATTGTAATTATTTGCCAACAATATATTGACTATTTGGTGATCGGGAAGTAGTGTTTTAAAGGTTTCTACCCCAGCAGCCATTACGTGTTTGTGTAGACAGGCATGTGATGAATGGGCTTATTTACATTGTAGGACAGCAAATTTAAATTACATTTTAGAAGATTGGTTAGAGTTGTGACTAGTTATAATTTTTTATTAAAATAATGTGAAATAGTCTAATATTAATTGGTTAACATTTTGATGATGAATATTTGATTTTCAAGAAGAGATTATTAATGTTAGGTGCATAGTGTTTCTAATTTGAATGTATAGTCCTATTTCACAGAAACTTTAAGTATTACAGAACCATGTTAGATTGCTCCAGGTAGCATGTTTGTAGTTGAATGGAGAGGTAGTTGCCTTCTTTTCTATTTCCCACAAATACCTCCTTCTGTCCCCCATAATTTCTGACCCCTTGAGAGTTGAAGCAGGAGTAGAGGATTGGGAAGGTTTATTGGCCTAACTGTGATGTTATCTGGTGTTGATTTCTCTTCCCAGGCAATATGCTGTTGCTTTTTAACCTAAAATGGCTTGACATGTTTTGGGGGTCTCTCTCCTCATCTATACCACCACCTTCCCCAACCTGTTCATCAGCCCCACTCTGATGGGCTGTCTTGCCCTGTCTACCAGACAGCCTTTTTAGGGGGAATATAACAGAACTCTGGGATAACTCTATAAGACCTAATTCTTTTGGATTTTAAAAAATATTTTATGTATTTATTGTTATTTTATGTGTATGACTGTATTACCTGCATGTAGGTAAGTGCACTGATGTCATGCAGTGCTCACAGAGGTCAGAAGAGGGTGTCGAGTCCCCTGGAACTGGAGTTAGGATGGTTGTTAGCCACCATGTGGGTACTGGGAATTGAACTCAGGTCCTCTGTAAGAGCAATCAGTGCTCTTAACCACTGAGCTATCTCTCCAACCCCATTCTTTTGGATTTTTGAGGGAGTGTCTTAACACATAGCTCAGGCTGGCCTTGAGCCAATGATCCTTCCACCTTTGCTTCCTGAGTACTAGGATTATTTGGCATATCAATGAGACTCATTTCCAGTCTACTTCTACCAAGCATCAGTAGGAGCGTAATTACTTTACTACTACAGTTGTAGGCCCCTTCAATATACTTTTTCAGTTATTCAGCTTTTGAGTCAGACATGGACCTATTGTATCCAGCAAGCCCATGGGATGCAGATCAAGCTTTCTGTGAAGTCTGCTGGAAGCCCTGTTGGCTTCGCTGTTAATGAGAGGGAAGCAGGCACATGCAGAGGCTCAGAACATGGCTGCC